GGAAGGAAGGAAGGAAGGAAGGAAGGAAGGAAGGAAGGAAGGAAGGAAGGAAGGAAGGAAGGAACCTGACAGACACAACTTGGAGGGTGGTGTTGTTGTTGTTGTTAATCTCACAATTCCAGGTTAACAGTACATCACTGCAGGAAAATCCAAGCAGCAGGGGCTTGAAGAAGTTGGTCATTTCACATCCAGAATCAAGAACAGAGTGTGATGAATACATGCGTACTTGTGAGAGATGCTCACTCTATCCACTCATGTAGTTCACAATGCCCACCCTAAGGAATGGCACTGCCCACAGTGAACATGATCAAGGCAATCCCTTGCAGACAGACACACTCACAGGCTAACCTGATCCTAACAACCCTTCACAGAGACTCTTTTCCAGTTGATTCTGGATGCTGTCAGGTTGACAAACTCTCACCCATATCTTATAAAAATTATAAAAGATAAACAAGATAAATTATTATACCAAATATTTATTACAAAGACATAGTGCTTTAATTTATATAAAAGAGGCAGGCTTATACCAATAAAGTAAAATATTTCTGGCCACAGAGTTCTCTCTAATAGTAAAAAGTATTAAGACAAACTGTCTATGAAGTTTTTGGAGACAAAGCTTGTATCAGCCAAGAACTTATTCCTATGTGGGAATAACAGAGATAAATCCAAAAATATAGAAACTATACAGCTTGTTGAAAATGGAGTAGAGGCAGGGCTGACAGTAAACATCAAACTTAGTTACACATGAATTCTTTAAATAATTATAATTACTATGTACAAACATAAAACAAATGACAAAATTAATCACCAACACATAAAAAATCTACTGACATCTAATAGTCCATGTTTCCATCTTTGCACCAGAGTAATCATAAATACAACCCAAAATATTCACAGCACTATTGTAGATAAAACCAAAGTAGCTAAATTAGCATAAATATTGAAGAAGAATATTTACGTTAGGGCTAAGTAGATGGTACAGTCTCTAAAGCATTTGTATCATAAGCATGAGGACCTGGATTTTGATCCTCAGAATTCACATGGTATGATGGTAGGCACATGTAATCTCATCATCAGCAAGATGGAGACAGAGAAGGCACATCCCTGGAACCAACTGTGCTGGTTGGTGACGTCTGAGGTCAGTGGGAGACCTTATCTCAAGCAAAATGCTTAATGTCCCTGAGGATTAACACCCAAGATTGTCCTCTTACCTCCACACACATAAGGTGCATGTATGTATACACACATAATTATATAGAAATAGATATGTGTATACAAAATATTAGACATGTATGTCTTTAATCCTATGTTTTCATCAACATATTAGACACAGACATAATTCTACAGCTTCATTTGAAAACATATGTGTCCATGAGAACACAGAAAACCAATTAATAAATACAACCCTAAATATTAACAATATTTTTGAGGAATGTCAGTGTTCACTGTTTTTTCAGCCATTTTCATCCTTACTGAAAATTGTTATAGTCTAAAACAAAGTTATATGAGCCAGAGTTTTTAGAACATCCATACAATTTTTCTGAAGTTTATGCTTTATTTGCCATAGCTATTTTTTATTTTTCATTTACCTTTCATTTGCTCATGAGAGCCCTGAAGCTTAGCCAAGTGAGGTGGCTGGCACACTTGACCCAGCTCGGTGGTGAAGCTCAGTGAAACTCGTCTCCAGTTACAAAGCTCCGGTTTTATCTTTCACTATGGTGTGTTCTGTGGGTCTGACCGGTGCAGGTTTCCAGGGCCTTTAAAAACTGGAATAAAAGGAAATGAATTTCACTGCAGCATTTTTGCACATTTTGTTGCTCGGCTTTTCCACTCCCATCCCTCAGTCCCATGGATCTTTCTCCTCCCAGGACCCCACATGCCTGTTCACCGTAACGTCACGTGTCTTCTATTACTCTCTTCTCTCCTCCACCCTTAAGACCTCTTTTCCTCTCTTATAGCCTTCTACTTTATTAACACCCCCTACCCAACAACCCAATAAACACACACACACACACACACACACACACACACACACACACACACAACTACATATGAAAGAATTTATCTTTCTGAATCTGAGTCATTTAAAATAGTAATACAATAATAATTTCTAGATACATTCATTTTCCTGCAAATGTTATGATTTCACCACCACCACCCCTCTTTTAGGGCTTAATAAAACTTCCCTGAATTTCATTATCTTTCAAGTGTTGATGGACATTTAGGCGAGTTCTGTTTCCTGGTCATGGTAAATAATGCAACAATGAACATGGATGGGTTAAGCATCTCTGCATTAGGCTGTAGAGCTCTTTGGACAGATGCCTAGAAATCTAGCTGGGTCAAATGGCAGTTCTACTTTTCATTTTTTGGTGTTTTTTTGTTTGTTTTTTTGAGACATATCCATACTACTATCCATAGAGTAGCTGCGTCAGTTTACACTTCCACCAGTGGTGAATAAATGTTCTTTTTTTCTCTACATCCTCCTCAGAATTTGTCGCCAATTATCTTCTTGATGCTTAGCCATATTAGAGATCTCAAAGCAGTTTTAATTTGCATTTCCCTGAACATCAGTTATTTTAGAATTTTTTTTAATCCACGGTGTTACAATAATAAATAATATGTACTTTTATAAAATATCACCTTTTAGAAGTCTCTTATTTTTGAAAATTAAAATTAGGTTTAAAAACTTTAAAATACAATGCAAGGGGGAAAAGATGGTAACAAAGAGTGATTATGATCAAAATACATTTTATGTATGTAAAGAATAAAGTTTTTTTAAATAAAAGTTTTTTTAGAAACTTAGATAATAACAAGAGTCATATCAAAATGTAGGTTTCTCAAGACACCACATAGAGTCATTTAATAGTATATTTTATTTAATAAAAAATTAAAGCTACTTGCCGGGCGGTGGTGGCGCACGGCTTTAATCCCAGCACTCGGGAGGCAGAGGCAGGCGGATCTCTGTGAGTTCAAGGCCAGCCTGGTCTCCAAAGTGAGTTCCAGGAAAGGCGCAAAGCTATACAGAGAAACCCTGTCTCAAAAAAACCAAAAAAAAAAAAAAAAAAAAAAAAAAAAAAAAAAAAAAAAAAAAAAAAAAAAAAAAAAAAAAAAAAAAAAGAAAGAAAGAAACAGAAAAATTTGTATGTCTAAATTTCAAAATTTGGAAATCCAAAAAAAATAATTTCTTATAAACATAATTACACAAATATATAAAGTTTGTTAGGCAAAGACTATATAATGTGGAAATTTTTAATTTTTATAATATGCTTCTAACAACTCTATATTAGTTATTTACACATACAAATTAAAAGGGATAGCTTTTAGGTAAATATAAATACCAAAGCTAAGGTACCATGGAACTACCAAAAATAGAAAGGGAAAATACTTGAGGATAGGTTAATAGATCCAGTACATTTTCTTCAGGAAGTGAACTGAAGTCTATGTACTCATTTCATTTTATGAAACTAGAAAAACTCCCACAGAAGAGCTATCAGTTTATACAATTATTGGGAGTCATCAATAAATATGGGTGCACCCAACACAAAATTTCTGTTATATTACAATCTGGTCTCAAAGGATCCTGTTCCAGTTCTTTAATTTCTCCATCAAACCCAGGCCATGACTAAGATTCACTATCTTGTTTTTTAAAAACATGATTAAACAGCATCAATGTTCGGAAACTGTATTTTAATAATGGTTTCCCAATTGCATCAATGTACTAAAACATTTAATAAAAGTTACACAAATACATAAAAAGAATACAGAATATGCTGCATGTAAAACAGATAAGTTTTATGGTACCCAAATTATATCTCAATATATGTTCTGGCAAAGAGAATAAAGCAAAATATACAAATTCTGTTTTAGACGGGAAAAAATAAATTATTTGGGCAATCTGAGTTTTGTTTAGAGTACTGCCTTCCGGTGGTCTCTGCTAACAGAAATGATGAATAGTTTCAGCAAACCAAGGCCAGTGGGATTCCTGGCTATAATTTTTTAGCAGAATTTTTCTGCTTTAATGTCTATCTGAGAAGCAGCACTCCTTTCTTTTCCCTTTGGGAACGCCCCCTGCTACCTCAGCTTTCTTAATCCCAGGATCCAATACCAGCTATTTCATAGAATGGGAATTAATCACTTCTATGTCAAAAAATGGAAAATGGTTACAGGAAAGTGCCCATCAACTGCTAAGTTTTCTACCTCAAGAATAAAGACCATTAAAGATTGCATTATATAACTATAAATAATATTGGTGCTGTTATTATGAACCAAAGACATCTAAATCTTTTGCTATTATATCTCCTTTCTAGAGTTTATTCTAATGCTGTCATATTTGGCAATGTCAGATGTGGCAGCTTACCCCTGGTGTCCTAGCATTTGGGAGGTAGAGGCAGGAAGATGACAAATTTGAAACTATCATGGTGTACAAGTGTGGTGATATATTGTGCACCCCAATAAAACTTATCTGATGATCAGAGGACAGAGCCAGCCACTAGATTAGACATAGAGGCCAGACAGTGGTGGCACACACCCTTAATCCTATCACTTGGGAGGCACAGGTCCATCTGGATCTCTGTGACTTCAAGACCACACTGGGAACACAGCCAGGCATGGTGGCACACACCTTTAATCCCAACACTTGAGATCTCATGCCTTTTCTTGGGAAGCACACACACCTTTAATCTCAGGAAGTAAGATGACAGGGCACAGAAAAGTATATAAGGCATAAGGAAACAGGAAGTCTCACTCTTGAGACTGAGGATTTCGTAGAGGTAAGAACTACTGGCTGGCTTGCTCTGCTCTCTGATCTTTCAGCTTTCACCCCAATATCTGGTCCCAGGTTTTCTATTAGTAAAACCATTTAGCAATTCATGTTACACCAAGTCACAAGCCAGATAGCAATACATGAAAAGTACCCAAATAAATAAAGACATTTGTCAATAAATTTATACAAACAAACTGTATCAATAATAGCAAAAACATTAACCAAAATAAGGCAATAGTTAAATAAACATGTTGTATTTCTAACATTCTTTCTCTCTTTCATGTGTTTTTATGCAAGACAGTGGTGGGCAAGGAATTCATTCACAGGTTTTTGAACTTTGCTTAGATATTATTTCCAACACTGGAGAGAAAATATGAAGAGTCTCTATTTAACTCTCACCCCCACTTAAGTGTAATTTACCCATGATCAACATCCCCCACCAACATGACACATTCACCCCAAATGCTAAGAACATTATGTGAGATGAAAACATTCTGACCAACAGGTTAAAAAAACGTACATAGAAAGGTTGTTGGGTAACTAATTCCTTTAGAATTGCTAAAGGAAATGTGTTATCCTTTTTTTGCTAATATTGTCTTCATTTCTGGATAACCAAATATGATATGAAGAAAAATCTTTCACAGAAAAATTCTAGACAACAAAGGCAAAAAGAATGACAAAAAGTTTTCATTTTCCAAGCATTAAAAAAAAACATATATAATAAAACTATTGCAGGTTACAAAAGGTGGATCACACTAATATCAAATATATATATATTTATATATATATGTATGTATATATATACATACATATATATAAATATATATATATACATACATATATGTATACACATGATATATGTGTATATATATGCATTATATACAATCAGACATGGTGCCTTGTGATGAATGTAACAGAGATCACAGATTACCATCTATCAAGTTTTTCTGCCAAAAAAATAAAGTTTGACCAGAATCCAATCACGTTTCTAGAAACAGCCACCAACTGTCGGTGTTTTGGTTGGAACATCCTCCAAAGGCTCCTGTGTTGAGGGATTGGTTATCAATGCAGGAATGTAAGGTAGGGCTTTAGAGAGACTATGAGACATGAATTCTCTAAGTTCACCAATGAACTATCCATTTGTGGATTGGTTCCTAATCTGATGAGCTACTGGGATATGACAAAATATTAGGGGGTTGGACCTAACTGCAGAGAAGTGGGTCTAGGGAGTATGCCCTTGGGCCTATATATTGTCCCCAACATTCTTTGTCTGTCTGTCTGTCTGTCTGTCTGTCTCTGGCTTTTCATTCCTGACCTGTATGAGATGAGCAGCTTTCTCCCACCATATCTTACCAAGGTTCTCTGTCTCACTATAGGCCAAGAAACAACAGAGCCAAGTGACCAAGGGCTGAAAATGTCTGAAACAAAACAAACTAAACTCTTGGAAACAAGATCAATCTTTCCTTCTTCAAGATGACTTTCTCCATAGAAAGCTAACTCAGTTAGTAAAGTGGGGAAACACACTATCTGTAAAATGCTGGTAATAACACAGTGACAGTTCCTTCTCCAAATAAATGGCAATTTCTAAAAATGAAAAGAAATTATAATGGACAAGAAAAAACTCAAATGGCATCAACTAAATGTAATGTATGGACTTTGAATCCTCAACAAACATCACAAAATTAAAAGTAGTATTTGAAATAAGAAAACAGACATTCATTATAAATGTTAAGCAATTGGTACTTTAGTTATGTAAAGAAAAGAAAAACTCTTTACAATATAGGCTTATGCATTTACAGGAGAACTTATACGATGTTTGTTTGTTGTTTCAAGAAAAGTATGGATACAGTGAATCTATCACAGAGCGAAGAATAAATGAAATATGAATAACAGAATGCTGGTAACTGTGGAAGATAGACAACGGCAACATAGAGGTTCATTAGACTCTTCCACTATACTTTTGTGTATGTTTTCTGTAATAAAAATCTTTTTAACTTAACTTCT